AATTGTATTACTTTAAATAATTTACCTATTTCATTGAAATATATAATTTGATATTAGATTTTAAACCATTCATGTATTTCAGCGCAACACCACAATTTTGTACAGGAAATAATAAGAATCAAATTAGATTTTTTAAACATTAACAGAAACCATAAAAATGTAACCTTCGGTATGTGTTGCAATAGAATTTAATACTGTCTTAATTAATTAACAGAAAGTCATTGTTTGTATTCATGCAGAGTTTATAAATCCCAGTACTTAGATCAACTCCTTTGTGTCTGATTCGCTACTTGTACGGATATCAAGAGTAAGTTCATGCAATGTAGGTCAGAATTAAAATTTGTTCAACTTCAGTGTTAATTTCAGCACAGTATAAAGGGGTATAATTCATACAATATCTACTGTCATAATCAATATAAAGTTATTTTCTCAATGGTTCATGTAACTGAATGGATGAGAAGATAATCAATAGCACCGTTTTAAATACTAGACAACTTTAAATTAATATCAGTCCCTGTGTTTCATTGAAAAAATAAATCATTCTCAAACAGATTTGAAATGTGTCAATGTTTGTATTTAATTTTATCCAAGAGAATTTTGTTTAAGTTCTGTTTTAGTCTTTTTCCTTAATTCATTAAACAAAGCTGCACGTGTAATACGAAAATATTTATATACCTGGCACCAGTGTATGAAATTAATGTGACACCCATTTCTCTTTCTCTTTTTCTTAGATAATAAACCTGCTAAATGAAAATTCTTATGTTCATATGAAGCATAATTTGTGCAAAATCTAAAGCGTGAAATGAAATGAAATGAAATCTAGATATATCGACGGCGTATTGTCCATAAACAATGGTAATTTCCATTCCTACGTATATACGATATATTTTGGTGTGTTTGAGACACACATGTTTCATACTTGGATATTTTACTTGAAAAGAACGCTAATGGTAATCAAACAAGCTATATGATAAACTTGATGACTTAAACTTTTTTATTGTTAACTTCCCTTACTTATGCAGCAATATACCTTTATTATCTGCATACGGTAAGTATATATATATATATATTTATCTCAGTTGATTCGATACGTAAGAGCTTGCCCTTCGTAAAAATTCTATCGTCGATACAATGATATTGTCAGCAAATACAATTTATCATTGAGACAAATGCCGACTGACGTCTTCATACTTATTGTTAATCCATTATTTTTACACTAAATTGATGACGGATTTCCCTTATTTCACGACAAGGAGCACACGGCGGGTGTGACCGTTCAGCAGGGGATGCTCACTACTCTATGGCACCTGATCACACCTCTGATGCTTCGGAGGTCCGTGTTTGCTATGCTCCTATTCTGTATTGTTTTATGGACTTTGATATTGAATACTATTCGTTATTTCCACATCTTTGTTTTCTCTCTCTCTCACTCTCATTTTGACGAATCAAACATGGTTTGTCTTATAAAATTCGTTTAAATCAGTTTCATTATCAAAACTTATACAATGTCATTAATAAGATACTAGTATTCTTATATGTACATGCATCAGACTACCCTCATTCATCAATAGGTATTTAGAGGGAAAATCAGTTTGTATATGTTTGTATTACTAATTTTCCTAATGATTTACGCTATGATTAAAAAAAATTACGTTGTGAAATTTCATTCAACTCATTACGTTAGCTGTATCGTTTGTAAAAAAAAAAGATTGCTTTTAGCCTTTTACATTAGGTTAATTTATGCGTTTTTCTTTGTGTCATAAACAGCCTCGCTAAGACAAGAGAGGCAACTCTACATTTAATTTGGTTCATTTTTTTTAATTACTATGACGCTGTCTACTGAATGTCGTCTAATTTTTGTGAACTTATTTATGTTGGTGAAAACAAGGGTTCACTTCATTAAATTTTTTTAAAACTATTTAAACACAAGACAACACAGTGTTAAAGGCTCAACAGGTTTTAAAATCCAATGAATAAATAAACATCTTTATCTTTACAACTGGTCCTAAAAAAATCAGAGTAGTAAACCTCAGCAATATATACCATATATGTATTCAAGTTCTGCATTTTAACAGCCAGTTTGTGCCAATATTCACCAATATAAGTTCAATAATTACTTTATTATATATCTAAAACATTTCCTCATATTTTTAGTATCAGTATTTAAATTAACGCCTGTGCTGGACGTGTTCAATATCGCATCATTCTGATGACCCCCGAACATTATGATTTGCTTTATTAGGTTAAATATGTACTAAAGTTCTAATAAGTATTTCATTTTTGTGCAAATAATAAGGAAATCTTACCCAGATGCCACTTTCTTTATTTAATTTAACTCAAAAATATTGATGAACACACATAGCAACTGTTTACCTCAGTGGAGAAAATACAATCTAGCAAAATATGTATCAAATTATATCTATCTTTTAAAATGTTTATAATTCATGATTTGATAACAGCTTTTCTAATAGGTGTTGCAATGTAGCTTGAAATCAATTTAGATCCAAGTGCAGACCGCTCCACCTGATGAAAACACCAAGAGAATAACAACTATTTAGTACGCAGTGTAGAAATGATTTTTTTCTACAAGTTAAATACAATGAGATTTTCATTTATACAAGGTTTTCAAAATAGATAGTTAGTACATATTTTAAACCCATTAAGCTATTGCTCCAGATGTTTATCCCTTCTCACGCAGATATTTATTGATGTAGACTGGCAAGCTTTTTAAAAAGATGTTACTTGTGTCTAATTTCATGTCACAAAAGGTAAAAGGCTTCTATGAGACAAGAAGAATAACTCTTCCTGATTTATCTCGTCAGGTTTTACTTCAAGAGTTTTTCATAACATTATTTTTAAGATAATTTGCTGTTTTGATTACAGTAAAACTATCAGTCATTCAAATCGGATATCTAAAATAAATTTCAGTCAAAAGAATTCATACGCACTATTTGTGAAGTAAAAAATACGTATATGCCTTTAAATTAAATAAAGTCAAAACTAGAACACAATCTTTACTTTTCCTCTCTATATGACACATTATCATGTTTACACAAAAATAGCTATGCTATTATTTCTACTTTCAAAGAGAGTTGCTGAAATTGTTTCATGGATTTAATTATTTATTTACGGTTAATGAAATACCCAATGCATTCATTTCAAACTAGTATCAAGAGGCCTTCCGATTTTAGCTACATTTCTATTGAGTTGGATTGCTACAGGTAAAACATATTAAAAATCACCTTTGGAATGATGAAAATCTCCTCTTGACGTTTGTTTTAAAATATGCTCAATTTTAAGTCATTTTTGGTAAGAAGGATAGTCTTATCGTCTACACTGAAATAAAAATATAAGGAATGAATCTTATTTTAACCCATGTTTTACTATATAACATTTTTTTAAGCCGTTAGGTATATTTACGTTATACATGTAGTGCATTATATAAAAGAAACTTCACTCCTCAAACGCTATCATTGACATTTTAGCATATTTACAATGACTTGTTGATGTGAATTGGAGTACCTGAAACTTTATATAAGTTGAAAACATGAAATTGTAAGAGTGGAAACATCTTAAAGATTAAATCATAAACTGTTAGATGACGAATGTACCCTTGTATTATTTATATCATTTGACAGTTTTGATCGCCATTAATTCGGAACCTTTGAAATGTTCCTCTGGGATTTCCGGATCAGAGGTTTTGAGATGCTCCCCGGGATTTGTCAATGTGATAGGTTGGTGTTTCTCTTTCCACAAAGAACCGACGTCCATGTTGAATTCCAGTGAATTCTGTCACCAGCAGGGGGCGCACATGGTCGTCATAGACTCAGAGAAGAAAGAAAAAGTACTCACCAACTATATTGATAGTAAGAGAACAGGAGAGGATCTAGGCATGAAATTGCGCTGTAAATTTAAGGTCATATCAACCATTATGTAAAATGTACCTATATAAGTGTTGATAGATCTGTATAATCTAAATATTGATGAATCGTTATTTGACATCGAATATCTAAATACCCTCAACATACTCTAAATATGAAGTTTAACACTAGAATATGTGATTTTAAATTGAACCCTCCATCCCCCCACCCCACCCATCCCCCAAAAAAGAAGAAGAAGAACCCCATACGAATCCTAACGATGAGGGTGAAATAGCAGTTGCCCCAATCTTTGGCCTCCTTTTGACTAATCATAACGACGGCAGGTGACTGAGAGAAACTAAACGTACTATACAGGAGAAGAAAGACTCAAACTTCCCTTTATTTGTGAGGATTCTCCATTTTTTTTTGGAGCATGAAGAGTGTTCTGTTACATAATGATTCATTCTCTTTTAATTAAAAAAAAAAAACTTGCAACCGTTATCTTTTGTTATATAATTTCATTAAGTATGGTATATACAGTTCTAAATCATTAAATGGAGTGTTCTTAAGTTAACGTTGGATCGTATATTCGTCTCCTCGGAATTCATCTAGATTTATCATCGGATCGTACATTCCTCTTCCAGGAAGAGATCTTAATTTATCCTCGGATTGTATATTCGTCTCCTCGGAAGAGATCTAGGTTTATCCTCATGTTTTAAATAAACTATGAATAGCATGTACACAAAGACAGACAGTGCATTATATTGTTTCGTTTTTTTCCCAAGGACACTTACTGGGATCTCCTCGCACCATATATACAAACATTTTATCACAAAGTGTTGTTTTTAAAATTTCTATCCGTAATCCAAAAAATAAGGGGCCAATATATTTTCCTAGGACGCTCGGTCCAGTTGTCTGTTTGTTTGTGATTTTTTTCAGCGATAAAAATTAATTTGAAATCGTCTCTTGAGGGTTTCCATAATCCATGGATAATCTTTCGTCTGTTAAAAAAAAATAACACTTCACAGCAAAATGTATGAAAGCATATTTTTTTATTAAAAAAAAACAACTTTTATTACTGAAAATTTCAGAGTGATTCAAAAAGAAAAAAAATGGATATTAAGATGTAATGATGTTTACCTAGTTACGTCTAATCATCATGATGGTTCCCCTCACTGACGTCCCACTCCTTACTGTGGGACACCATGGACAGGACCAGGACTCCGGGGACCATTGTCCGTTAAGGAAGGCTCGGTGACATCTGTTAAACCACCAGCCTCCTCTACGGGTACTGACAGCAGCACAGTTACAGCTACACCCGTCGTTATCTCTGTCCGGGGTACTGAAGTACATCCCAGACAGATTGTAGTCAGAATCACCAGTATCTAACATACTGTCTCCTGTAAAATTAAAAAAGAAAAATATACACGGACACTTGTTTAAAATAGATCAGCAGATTTATATCCACTATACTCGTCGTGATCTCTGTCTGGGTGGAGAAGAACATCCCAGATAGATTGTGGTAAAATAAAACCTGTATTTAACATACTGTCCCCTGTAAAATTAAACAAAAAGAATCACAAAGTTAATTGATTTCGGTTGAGGTCTTTTGAATTAGGCTTTTTAAGCTTTTTTAATTTGAATATTTATCCAATCAAATTTTTTTTATCATCAAATTTTTGCAAACCTTTAGACATTTAAGATTAATGACGCACTGTAAACTTCTTATTCAGTAGTAGTAAAAAATGTGGATCATTGAAAATCAGACTAACATGCGCTGTAAACTTTTTCCGTATCAGTTAAAATGTGAATTATAAAAAAATTATCAGGAAACCCAATCTGAAAAGCAATGTTGAACAAATGTAATTATTGGATTTGTTTGTTTAAAAAAATTAATTTTTCCTTGTACATAAGATGTATAATTAGAAATTTTATCTACTTGACAATAACAAATTCGATATCTGCTGAGTATATGAATTGTATCTGCAAATGAAATTCTGTAATATTAAACATGTTTATTTAGGGTGGAATCAAAAAAGTATACATAATATCAGAAAAAAACACATCTTTCTTTTTTCAAGAACTTTATAATCTTTCAATACAGAAAAGAATACTTATGATAATATACGTTATTTGAACCCAATTTTAATAACTTAACATGAATACACTTACCTATAGTTCCCGTGGCAGGTCCTGCAAGAAACAGTTGATATTTGCCTGCTTCGTCAGAGACAGAGAATCGGTCGTACATTTCATACAGCGTTGAACCATTCTGAAGAGTGATGGACACATACAGGGATGATGGGTTTTCTTTTGTTAATTTATGGATTACGTCATTTCCTGTATTAAGATATATTTGAAATCATCTGAAAAGTTCATCGAATACAATTTATTCTTTTAAAATCTATATGAATCTACCGTAATGAAAAATCAGATTATTTTCCATAGCTGTAGACAATATTGCTAAATTTTGTCTCATTAGAATATGCCGCTAAATGATATTCTTCTTTTCTATTTTTTTTTTATTATTTGAAATATCAATAAAACACGATATCTGAATATCATAGAACACACATTGCCTGGTCTTAACTTTAGATATTTTTTTTTATCTTAAAACTTTGAAGGACTAAAAAGTTCTTATTTGAAACCGATTTACACTTACCAATCCAGACATCCTGTTCTGGTGAACCAAAGCCATTCTTATAATCCGTCCAGTTCCTGTCAAAGGTTACGGATCCGTCTACGCGTTTCTGAATTGCCTTTAAAAATTAGCATACATAACATTTAGATTTATTGCTTCGAACAATCGTAGGATCCATTTTTTATGATATAAACTACAATACAATCCTACAATCCTTAAAACCACCGAAACAAGGTGTGTTATATTAAGTACTTGTAATCATAAAATAAAAAACCTACTGTCCATCCACCGCCCATCGTGGTCATGTCGCAGTAGACACTTATTGGAATGGTTAATGTTCTGTAGGGGTATATATCATACACCCCTGTGATGGTTTGTCCATTTTCTTGAAGATCCTTGCAATCTTTGGGCATGCTAGAAAAATCTAAAAAAAAAAAAAAAAAAAAAAACAAGAAACTTGATTTAAAAAAATCGTGTCCCCTCGAGAAGGACCTAAAAAAACCCCAAAGAAGCTAAGAGAATAAAAAAAAAACCCAAATATACATACCGTTATCTGAGTAGTATCTCCAGCCGACCTCCTCAGACATAACAGACGTTAGACTTTTCTTGTGGGTACGGCATTTCTTCATTTTAGGATTAAAACCAAAAAACACACATTCCCTTTGACACATTGCGGCGCACTCAATCAACGATTTAGCATCATGTTCGCCTAAAAGGTCACTGTTTGACTTCTTATCATCAAAGTCAAGTTTCGCATCATATTTCTTAGAAATAATGGTAGCTTTAGATAAAGCTAAGAAGCCTACAATTAAAGTGATAACCCACTGAATGCTCATTTTCTTTTGTTGCGTAAAAATCTGCCGCGTTCTCGCGAATCTGTGAAATTCTGCTAAATGGTCTTTCAACAGCCAGATATATCGTACCATAATCAATGTCTGAAAAGTGATTGGTTAACTGTTACGTATTCCATATTTCACTATTGTTTAAGTATCGATTTTATTGAATCTAATATGAATTTTCATAAGTGTATATTTTGAAATTGCATTTTAGAATATACAATAAACGTGTGCTGTTTATTTTACTATGCTAATGCCTGTTATGTTGTGATTTTTATTTTCATTCGTTATTTTGAAGTGAGGATTTATAATACTGGTATATATTTTCTTGAATGAAATTGAAAAAAAATCAGCTCTTTCGAAAGAAAATCTCAAAGAAATAATTATCTGATGACATTATTATGATTCTCAGAAATAAAAAAAAAATATACTGATTAATTCAAATTTTATACATTAGCCTCCAAATGTTCATATAACACAATGCATCATCATTGCTTTATTAACTTTTCAATCAATTTCAAAGGACCACAACGGAAACATTTAAGAGGAACGTTGATAGCACCGAGCACATCTTATAAACTGAAGCTGAATCTGGTTTATTTAATCAAACGCCTATTTTACATCAACATATTCAATGGCGTTGTAGAAAGTCTGTATAAAAATTTATTAACATATAATATATACAAATATACATGGATACATGGAACGTAAAGTAATTAAAATAAAGCATAAAAGTCCCTATATTTGTAGCTTTTTAAATGTTTTTTTTTTTAAATACATGAATTGATTTTGATTTTTTATATACAAAAGCAGTAAAAAGCAGGACTTAGGACGTATACAGGACTTAGCACATCTCGGAAGAATGTAGACAAAACCGAGCAAATCATAGAAGCTCGTAGACAGCACCGAGCACATCTTGGAAGAATGTTGACAGAACCGAGTACATCATAGAAGCTCGTAGACAGCACAGAACACATCTTGGAAGAATGTAGACAGCACCGAGCACATCATAGAAGCTCGTAGACAGCACCGAGCACATCTTGAATCTTATCTTTCAACTTTCATCTTTTAACATTTCGACTTTAAGGACAGATGACACGAACTAACTTTTGTCAAAAACTACTAAAATAACAACTAGAGTCATCTTTTAATGAATACAATATGTAGTTTTTAAATTTCTATTCAAAGTTGCACAAAAAATAGTATTTGACATGAAAAATATTTGTGAAGAATATTAAGGATGGTTTCAGAGGGGTAGAATTTGAACGCACAGGTTAACATTGTCGTTATATTCTAGAAATTTATTATTTGTATCATTTGCAATGAAATTACGCTAAAAATACATACCAATCCAGACATCCATTTTTTGTTTACATCATTTGTCTTTAAGGGGGGCGACTGGGGTCAATCTCAAAGTCCATCAAACAATATAAAATAAGATCAGAGCAAACACGGACCCCCGAAACATCAGAGGTGGGGTCAGGTGCCATGGAGGAGTGAGCATCCCCTGCCGACCGGTCACACCCTCCATGTGCTCGTTGTCATGATCAGGAAATAACGGAAAAATCCGTCATCGATTCAGTGTATCAATAATGGACTAACAATTTGTATGAAAAACATCAGTCAGTATTTGACTCAATGATAAATTGTATTTGCTGACAGGGTCATTGTATCGACCATAGAACTTACGAAATGATGGCTTTAAACGAGACTGCTAATATTCTTGTTTCATCAACTTGCTTTCACTAATTTACCTCGTTTTTGAAATTGTTCATACGTAGAGTATGCTCTTGCGTATCGAATCAAATGAGATATATATACTCCGTATGCAGGTGATGAAGGCATACAAATGTATTGCTGCATAAGTAAGGGAAATTGACGATAAAAAAGTTAAAGTCATCACGTTTATCATATAGCTTGGTTGTTAGATTATCATTAGCGTCTTTTTGAAGTAAAATATACAAGTATGAAACAGAAGTGTCAGACTATGTAGTATCTTTTATCTCAAGCTCACCAGGATATTTCGTATCGACGTAGGAATGGAAAGTACCATTGTTAACTGACAATACGTCGTCGATATATCTAAATGTTGAGTTGTAGGCCACAGCAAGTATTTTCTTCTTTTCACGCATTAGATTTTGCATGAATTCTGCTTCAAGTGAATATAAAAATTAGTCTGCTTATAACGGAGCGCAATTTGTACCCATGAGATTTCCAATAGATTGTTTGAATACCTGGTCTCCAAAAACCACATAAATCCATCAAATATTAGGAGTTTGGCGCAGAGCACAAAACTTTGGCGTGACCATTGGAACTTTGACTTTTGAGTCCTATATGTACATATATAAATAACTTATGTTTATAAATATAAAGGAAAATAGGTCTAAATAATGTTTTATTTGGAATAGGTAATCTGGTATTCGGGATAGATAAGATAAGAGTAACTATCCATTCTGTATGGATGTTACAATTATAAATTTCAATATGAAACATGTGGAGATAACGAGCAGTATTTAAGCTCAAAGTCCATTAAACAATACAAAATAGGAACAGAGCAAACACGGACGTCCAAAACATCGGAAAACTATATTAAAATATTCAAAAAGTTGGAGAGAAAAAAAAATTGTTTGTTCAGGCTTTTTGATATCATTGACAGCTAATTTTTTTCAATAAAAATGAAATCATTCTAATTGTACTATGAGTTCTACATAGAAAAAAGAAGTTTGAGTTTTTGGTTGACAATATACATGCTGCTTTTGGAGACCAGGTCTTCCAACAGCCATTGGATTTCCCATGGATACCAACTTCTCCCCATTATTAGCAGACCTATTTTTGCATTCATATGAAGCAGAATATTTTCATTTTATGGATGAAAAGGGATCACTTGCTTTGGACGTCAACTCGATGTTTAGATATATCGACAACGTATTTTTAATAAACAAATGTAATTTCCAGTCTTATGTCGATATATCCTCGTGAGATTGAGATAAAAGTTACCATATCCTTGGGGGACTGAATTAACTCCTTGAGTCTTTTTTCCCTTATAGATTCAAATGAATGACGCCTTTTTATACTGAGTGACACATCAGCCAGTATCGTTTCGTTGTTATGTATAATCATCAATAAATGAGTACAGAACGACAAGTATCCTCGAGGACAGACTGTCGACCAGCAGAAATACATGTACAGAGAGGTTATATTAATATCTATTTTTAAAATTTCTTCTGTTCATCATATTTTTTCTAAATTAGAATAACGTAAGTTTTACAAATTTACATAAGCCACCTCTTGGGGATACTTATCTTCAAGCACCATGTATCCATCAAATTTACATGTAAGTAATACTTTTGGAACTAAGTAAAAATATATAAATAATTCACAAACTTAAGAATATACTGAAAAGATTTATGAATTCGGAGTGTGTAATCTTTTTCTTTTATTTATTTTTATTATTTTTTTTTATATATATATATTTGTGTCCCGGAGGGAGAAATACTTATTTTTAAGTAAATGATATGATATTGAACTTAAAGAAAAGAAAGAAAAGATAAATTTTGAATATTATAAATCATTTGAAGGGAAAAAATTAAATCATGCAAAAACGGTAGCTTATTTTTTGGATTTGTTAAGAAACAAACAATACAAATGAACAACATGCATTGACTATAGGTTGTATATATATATAAACAGTATAAACAGAGGTCCCGTGTCACAATAGTCATGGCACAAAAAGTGCCAAGTACAGTTCGGAATTTGTAGCCCTCCGCCGGTCCACTCTCCATTTCAATTAAAATTCTCGTAAGAAGAAGGATATGGAGATAACGAACAGTATTCAATATCAAAGTCCACAGACCTCCGAAACATCAGGGGTGGGAACTAGCGCCACGTAAATGGAGCAGAGCAAATACGGACCTCAAAAATATTGGAGAAGGGATCAGGGGCCATGGAGGAGTGAATATCCCCTGCCGACCGATTACATCCGCCGTGGTTGTCGTGATCAGGAAATAACGGAAAAATCCGTCGTCAATTCAGTGTATAAATAATTGACTAACAAATAGAATGAACAACGTCAGTCAGCATTTGACATTGCTAAATGCTAAAAGTGATAAATTATATTTGTTGACATGGTCATCGAGCATAGAACTTTGAGATATAAGTATGCAGGGGATGAACGTATATTTCTGCATAAGTAAGACAAGTTGATGATCGAAGAAATAAAGTCACAACATTTATTATAGAACTTGGTTGTTAGATTACCATTAACGTCTTTTTTTAAAAATAAAAGTCATAATTGCCTGACATTGTCGATAAATGACTGTGTCAGCATATACAATTTATCAATGAGTCAAATGCTTACTGACAGTTTTTGTACTAATTTCAAACTTATTTACAGACTGTTTTGTCGATGGAATTTCGGATTTTCTCGTTATTGTCCGATTATTACAAGGAGCACACATTGAGTGTGAGTGTTCCGCAGAGGGTGCTCACTGCTATATGATTCAACTTCATATATTTTAAAGGTCCGTATTTGCTCTGCCCAAAAACAATTAATTTAAAATAGTCTTTTTTCGATTGAATATTGTTCGTTA